TATAGTCCATACATATTAATTTCAAAAATATCTCTTTTATAAAATCTATTTGCGCACATTTTTTTATATAATTATAATGTGTTATGTATACTTATTAAAAATAGAATATGATTAATTACAAGTATGAATAATCACGTTATAACATCATAGAATATTTTTATTATCATAACTTAAACAAATTATGTTTAAATTGAATTTATAGTTAAATTATCTCTCGGAAAAATATCCCCGAATTTATTGTTTCCTAGAATTATTTTGATAAATTAATATTAAAAAAAAAAATGAGTTTTCATATTCACTTTTTAAAAAATACATTTTTGCCTCTCGATCAACTTTGTCCTAAATGTAAACTGTAACAATGAGTCATATAAGTAAGAAATATGTATTTATGTTCTTGTTTCAATAATGGCGTGGAAATTTCATATTCAGAATATTCGATCTTTAAAATTAGATTTTTACCAATTAAATGCGGTTTATAAAAATGTTTTATTTAAGAAAGCTGGTACTTTCACTTTCGTTTTTGTTTTTTTAAGTACCTTTAAAAATTATAAATATTTTAACTCGACAATTAAGTCTAGATACAGATAACAATACAGAATGGAATATGGTACGCATATAATAAGTTTTATATTCGAGTGTAGCATTAGATATGAAAGAAATAAGTAAGTATATATTAAGACAGGTGGGGATCTAGTGATAAGGGAATGATTGGTATCAATTATATGGTAATCATACGCCTAGAAATCAAAAATAGGAAAATAAGGATGATCTAGAAAAAATTAAAGAAATGGCAGCCAGAGAGAAAGTGATTGAGACTGCATTGAACTTCCTCGGGATATCGAGAGTATACATTTGACAAACATTATTTACGTTATATTTTAAATATGGTATTCTAAAACTATACTACATATATCTATATACAAATATCCAATAGATTTTAATCATTGTCTAGTGACAACAAGTTATATTTTTCGATACTGCGAATCACGCAATTATGTAACGATATTGTAATAATATGCGCCTAAGTATTCATATATTTTTAAAAAATTGAATATATAATTAAATAATTATAATAATCAGTACAAATTAAATATAAGAACAAGTCATAAGTACTAAAGATAAAACATGACGCACACACGTTCACACATACACGCGCACACACACAAGCGACATTAAATATAAGGAGCAAAATTTTCAAACACAGACGTGTTCATATTGTCATTTTGTATGGATGATCAAAGATGAGTGTAAAAGACTACGCGATCGTCTATGCAAAAGGACACAATAAATTGTAAACGTTTTATAATAATGTATTAATGTGTGTATATGTAATTTAAATAAAATTAATAAAAGTGAGGTAAAAAAAGAAAGTTATTGTTTTTTTAAAATATAAGTTGGCTACTTTATTCCATACCTAAAGAGTCAACCACGGTTTTCAAAAGGCAGGCCGATTAAATCATTGGAGAGGTAATATTGTTTATTTATGATTTACTAAGTAATGATTTAAAAAACATAAGTATTTCACACATAAATTAATATAATGCTATAATTTTAAACATAAGCGTGCGCAGACCCTTTTTCAGGGTATGCAAAAGACTGCACTGCCTATCCCCCCTCCCCTAAACTGAAAGTTAATTTAAGCGTTCCAAATTCTGGTCTTAATAACTCTTTAATTTAAAATTTAAATTTTTTTTCCTGAAAAAAATGACTGAATAGCCATTTCTTAATCGTTATAACTGTCTTCATAATTAAAATTTAAAATAAATTACGAAAAAATAAATAAATATTTAACACTTGAAATGGTTTGAGTAATACATTTAAATAGGGTGAATAAATAAAAACATAATTATATACTTAAATGAAAAACAAATTAAATTTGATAAATAATCAAAATTAATCATAAAACAATTCTGGGTACAGTTGAATTCTTAATATAACCAATAATTTTGAGATTTTAATTTATAGCCATTTCTTGTTTTGTAGTTGATAGCTATTTAATCTCACTTGAATTATTGTACTTCTTAATTTCATTAACACATTAAATCGTTATAGCATATGATTTGTGTTTCAAAAATAAATTAAACTGTCTGGGATTGAATATAAAAATATAATAAAAATCATAATGTAATAAAAAATCACATAATATACATAAGACCAAATATGTCATAATTTTTATTTATTTTTTGTAATTTTAGAAAGAAGATTCTATGTTTAGGGTATGCAGTTGCATACCCTGCATACCCCCTGCGCACGCCTATGATTTTAAATAATTACAATATTCTCATGTAATTTCGTAAGCCTGTATAAATCTTCCTCGAACTATAATTCAGATTCTTAAGTTTTAAAAATACAATTCGCTGGTCCTAGCTTCATGAATACATATTTTTCATCGATAATCGAAGCGTAATTGAAAGCATATTAATTATTGTTTGTTATAATTTAAATATTTCTCTTTTTAGAACCCTTTTAACACTAACATAACATACAGTTATAATAAAATACAAAAATATGCAATGTATATTTTTATTACTTAAAAAATAATTAAGTATATTATCATTAAAACAATGTATTACCAAAGCCTTTATAAAACCCTAAAAAAATAAAAATACATGTGTTGGTAAATGTATGTATATAAAACATGGGAATTATTAATTTTCATGTTATAGCATATTCTTTAGTAACCTATCAGTACTTTTTATTTATTTTGTTTCATATTAAGTTAATTTTAGATAAATAGAATTATTACATTTTTTAATTGTCTCCTCAAAGTTTCATATTACAAATACTTCCAGGAAATATCATATGAATAAGCAAATGTAAAATTATAAAAATGTTAAAAGTTATTAACAATAGTCTTATAAATCATAGTTGTAAAATTTTATTTTAACATTTATTAACACTGATTATTTTTAAGACACGTGCCATAAATATTTAGATATATAATAATCTAATAATATATAAGATATATCCGATACATTATAAATATTAAGGCTCTTTGGTATAATTATGACATTTATCTAAATTAAAAAAATAACTGTAGCATATGTAATTTTCAAATAACAAAATTACAAAATAAATTACATTATAATATAATGTAATATTATGATTATAATTTATCAAATGTAATTTTAAATTAGTTATGAATACTATGGAAATAACATAAATTAATAGTACAATTAAAATTTAAAATAATAAACTGAAATTATGAGATCATTAATTTAAAGACCCCTCAGTAAAGTATCGTTAATACACCCAAGACTTAATTAATTAAAAGACAATTTGTTATTATCAAAAAAAAAAATAATAATAAAATTCATATTTCGTGCATTTAAAAGGTAATAATAACAGTGACTGAAATGCAAGTAAAAAATTGTATGTATATTATTGATTTATGTCTATAAAATAAACTTGCAAATAATGAGTACTTAATGAACCATCAAATAATCACTACAGATCGAAAAAAAATTCACATGCCTAATGTATTTGATGTCATATCGCATTAATAATGAATGAGTTAAGATGTAATTTCAATTTTAACTACATTAAAAATATTTTTATGATTTTCAATACTTATTTATTGCTGAGGACCAGAAACAATTTTCTAAAAAGTATCTTGCGGTGAATAAAATCCTAACACTTTCATTATTTTATTTCGATTAATATAAAAAATTAATAAATATTTAATTCTGTTTCATACAATAAATTTCTGCATTCAGGTTTTTTTTTTTAATTATTATTATTATTATACTCGTATTAATGCAGAGTATTTAACTATTTCATTGATACATTTAAAGCATATGAATAAGTATAATATAAATAATTATTTTTTTTCAACAGAATGAAAAATGTATAATGTTTTTATATAGCCGCTATCTACCGATAACAACTGAATAATGAGATTTTTAATAGACGATACGAGAACAGGAAAAATTAAATACGCATCTGAATGATTTTTAACTCTTCTAAGATAAAAATTGAACTAGCGTCATTGCCTCGCTGAATGTGACGCTAATAGTAATAAATATCGAAAATACAGCATAATATATTATAACAACTTCCTGGCAATACCGCCAATATGTCGATTTTAAACATTGATATTTTAATACGATATGTGACGATAAAACGAGTAATTCGTTTAAAATAAATTACTCACAAATCGATATTTCTATGTTTTTTTTTTTTTTGTAGCATTGACGTCCGTTTCCTATTTATGACTAATGCACAATGATTTTTGTGTACTCGTATATTATACGATTGTATCGAGTCAAGTGTCTGACGACATACTATTCCGTTATTAATATTATTTACATATTCCGTATTCCATTCTGTCAATCTCGTTTTCGTCGATGAAAACCGAACCAAAAGATCCAACTGACGGGTCTCCGTTCGATATTGACCGTGTGTACCTGCGCGCCAACGCGCAACATTAATGATTCGCACACTACAATGAACGTACACATTGTACAAGAACGTAATGGGCGAACGTGTTGCGGCACAATAGTCGCTAATTCTAGAAGATATCGGAAAGCACTGCAACACGGGTGGGCATTTATCGCGCGTCCGTTATGCTGCAGAACCCGCGATGTAGCATAGCATGTTGCGACGTCACGATACACCGTATTCCGATTCTCTTTGTGCACCGCGTCTGTGCGCGCCTTATTGTTTCGGATTATTATTGTTTTTTTTTTCTATTCGAGGGTTTTCGACGAAGACGGCTTCGGAGGTACGCTGCAATAGTGGTGCTGACGAGGCCCTGCGGCGGCTGCGGCCGCACCTTGCACACAAAAGGGATACGACGTGCGTGCGCGTAAGAGAGATGGGAAAGAGATCGAGAGAGGTACGAAGGGAGACAGGGCACGGGTGCTGGGAGGAAGGGAGGTGCGTGTGAACGCGTTGAGAGAGAGAGAGTAAATGAGAGACGGGTAGACAATAATAATATTTTCGTCGTAGAATAATAATACTCCGCGGTGGGGAGAGGGAGAACAGGTCGGTTCGCAGCCTCCCGCCGGTCACTCGTCCGTGTTACTGTTCGTCGAATACGCGTCCGACCACAACGCGCCCGGTGCACCGACCGCAGCTGCACACCCGCATCGTCATCGTAATCATCATCGTCATCGTCGTCGTCGTCGTCGTCAACATCATCAGTATCGTATGTCAGCGTCGTCGTCGTCGCCGTCGTCGTAGCTGAAGTCACACGGACACAGGACCCGAGGGCCCGCGCATCACGGCCGCGAACGTACGGGGAGACCGCGGCAGCGGCGGTAGCCCCGCAATGCCGCCGCTGAAGTCACTACCGATCCCGCCGATCGTCACGCCGCTGGTGGCACTGGTGCTGACCACGCTCGTGTTAGCCACTTGCAGCGCTGCGCCCGACATATCCATGTCCATACACGGCGGCGTGGGCACGTCGGGTGACGATCGCGAGAAATCCTCTTTCACGGTCAATCAGGCGAGTTCTTTGATTACTAATCATTTTTTGCCTCTCTTCCCTCTGCACCACCACCACCATCACCAACCGCATCAAACCCTCACACCGTTCACCCGTACAGCTCGACGAACACCGTTCAAGCGAACCGCAGTCCCTGCAACGACCTGCAAGCCAATCACTCTTTTCTGTCTCCCTTTTTAAAAACCCAAGGTTTCTGGTCGTAGGAATGCTATCTCCACACATAACTGTGATCTCAATAGTTCGGTAAAGAATCACTGAATTCGTTAACAGTTGATAATATCATAAACTTTTGAAACGGACAAATCGCACAACATTTGTTTTTGACTTCAAGTTCCGTTTTGGAAAATTCCTGTTTTATGTACATAACATTTACCGAAAACACTTCGCATAAAGTAAACACATTCGTTATTATTGCCTCATTGAGAATAACTGAGAGATCAATTATTTCAATAATAGATTAGCATTTAAATTTCTATCTGTGGTTTTTTTTAAGTTAAAATCCCTCTCCTTTTAATCGATCTAAAAATCCAAAATATTTATTTGATTACGTTAACCTCTGTCCCTCTTTCCACTCAATGGTTAATCCGAGTTTTACTAACAGTTAGGGTATAACTTATATTTTGCAATTTCATTTGAGAAAATCTTTATCTTACAACTCTGAGAAATATTATTACTATTCTTAATTTCAATTGAAATATGCATTAAATATGTAATTCCTCAGTAGAAAAAATAATAAGAATTCTTTTAAACATCATAATAAGAAATACCAATAAAATAGTAAACGTTAATCTCAAACGCTTCAAGATTTTTGTATTTTTATCTTAAATATTTAACTTGCATTTTTAATAATTACGTTGTGTTATACTATCACTGACCGGTGATAACATAGCTACTGCAGACTTGCAGCATCCGATGATAATTTTTTCATACGATTCAAATGATACGCAGTGATTTGCTGCTATCACATTATTCTGCGTTTATATGCATGTTGTCTTCTCTAATAATTAAAAGTGTAGCATAAAAATTATGTTAAGGATTTAAATTAATACATGAGAATATAAGACACCAAAACTTATAAATTACGCCACTTATAGTAAGCTGACCGTTTTAACTGCAGTATTTTATGACCGTAGTGGATAGAAAAATTATTATACTCATTTACATGACGAGTGTTCACAATATTGTTTAACTATAATGATTAATGATAATGATTGATATGTATGGGTGTGAAGTTTTAAATACAGGTATAGAAAAATATAAACGACTACACAGGTGCGGTAATATAACCGTTCTTAAAACTAAATCGCAAAAAAATACTTCCTTTGCAATTACTCTGTTACGCTGAACTGAACACATGTATTGATTATACTACTTGTTTCGTTGATACGCTGTCTTTTTGTAATAGTATAAGCAATAGTACCATTACTCTTCCAAATATATTATACCTGAAAAAATTCGTAATGATATTTGACATCTTCTGTGTAACTATATTATCTAGAATATAATATAATATAATGTAGAATATTTTACTTGTATAGCTAACTTGAAAATTATAACGGGCATGTGTAGCCGAGTAGATAGGGTGGTTTCTATCTCTAAGCTAGACGATTAGTATAGAAAGACCCTTCGCTTTAGCCTAGCAAAAACCTGTATGAGACTTGAAAAAAATCTTGACGACCAAACTTACCATAGGTTAGTATCCTACTTCTGAACATAAACCAAACAATAACAAAAACTTGAAAAACAGCATTTTTTCGATTTTGTTTTTATATTACCAAATAAACAATATATTCACGATAATATTTAATGATAACTAGTGAATACCACTGTTCAGAAAGTCTTTGAATATTGAAAACTAAAAAATAATTTTATTAAAAAAAAACTTTAAAAAATAATTTATGCTAACTACTATATGAAAAGTCCAGTTATATCAAAATTAATAATTTGAATATAATTTTAAAACTTTGATGTTTACATATTCTACCCAGAAGGGTTCAAATAATTTCACACGACATTTCTATACAACAGGAACAAAAGTTTATACATTTTCTTTGAAGAGTTAATTTTTTTAACTTCTAAATCATTCTTAAAAAAATAACATCAAGGTGATGATGTTAAAATAAGTGTTCAAAGTAGGAATTGTAATTTTTTTTCGTGTTGGGATATAAATGATGCATAAATAAGATATACGTATATAAAAAGATATGATAACAACGATAACGTAGCTAATCTTCGCCATCACATTTTCCGTTGACCCATCCATACTTATAACTAAACTTAATAAACTTATAACTACATAATAATCAAATTGTTATCTATAATAATGATTAGAGTCAATAGGTAAATCAGAATTGTACAAAACATAGTACTGTAGCGTATTTAAGCGTTCAGACGCGATTTAAAAGTATAAATATTAAAATCTCTTTTACTGAGAATCACAAATAGTCTAGTTTCTATGAATAGATTAGCATTTTACTTCTGTTATTTTTGTCACTTTAATATAAGTTAACAACACATTTAAAGAAGATGTATTTCATGAGCATTCAAGTGCCAAAAAAAAACAAGCGAAATTTTCGCTTGGCTTATATCCATGAGAAAACATTTGCGAAATTTCAATGGTTTTTTAATTATGCTAGGCATATCGTGCTTGTAAGTATACAAATACTCAAAAAATATCATTTTAATATTCAATGTCACAACGAATACATGAAGATATTCAATTGATTCTACGATATGAGAGCTACAATGATAAACGTGGACCTTGATAATACCCTGTTAATACAATATTGAACAGTGGTCAAAATAAATTGAAAACAATAACCACTATAAACAGTAGTATTATTTTATGATAATATATACAATTCAATGTAGTTAAATTCTTATTTGGAACAATTAATCGTTAAGTTCGTCTGCACGGATAACGTACACATGTTTGGGACTATTAACGATTGAGATAATGACGGTAATCACGGACGATTGAGCTTCGACAAAGGTCAGCGAATAAACGGCAATGATACAACCCTACTTAAGTCAGATAAACTCCCCATCATAATGCGATACACACAAAACACCCTTAGAATTGGTGAACAAACACTACTCTGGTATCAGACAAGAATAATTTTATAAAATTAAAAAAAAAAAAAAAAAAACAATACGGGTCGAAAGATCTTTAGATATATATAAATCGATTTTATAGTGTGCAATGTATAGTGCATACGATTCAATGAACTGGTTATTAATAAACTCTAATTTACACCAAAAGATTTATTTAAGTACGTCTTTATTAACGGTTTTTATTTCAAGTTGTCGCGCGTAACTATGATTTGAATTGAAAATACGTAACCGAAGCTGTATATCTGTATTAACAATATGATGTTGTGCATAAAAATAAGCCTACGTCAAAAATAATCAAATTACACGATTTAAATTTAAAATGTTTGAATTATATTTTAAAATGAAGTAAATATTTTCAATTATAGTCAAATGCAACAAAAATATCTATTACTGAAATGATAAAATACATTTATGGGAGATTTTGAATCAAACTTAACTGGTATGTTTAACTATCGATAAAAGTTGTACATTATAAACTTTAAAATTTTGCTTTATAAAATTAAATATTACTTCCACATTTTTGGTATTTAATACATAAAAAATATTGCTGCAGAAAAATATATTATTACTTGTTATTGTAAAACCAATTAATATTCTTTATTTAGCTAAGTATCTATTATGGAAAAAAAATTAGCGGATAGTTAAATAAAAATGGAAAGATACAGTTTTTATTTTTCTGATGAGAAAGACAAAACGCATCATATATCGATGAACAGTAGATCATTCATTCATTCCCTTGGATTTATTTCAAGTATCGTCTATGTTTCTAAGAAATATTTAATGTCAAAAATAATGGCAAATAAATAAAATATCTCATATCGTATACATATTAGGTATTGTATTATTTTATGATAAACATAAGGAACTGAACTACATATTGAATATTACTTAGTGCAATCACCCCAAATAAGAAAAAAATGTATATAGGTGTGTAAAATATTTCATCTAATTAATCTAATTCGATTGTATTCTAAATATAACTAATAATTTCAACATCCAAGTTAATGTATATTTCTGAAACTTCTTGTGTGATCTTTTAAAACTGTAACTGTAAAAATATATTTTAAATAAATTAAATAAAACAACAATAATAATATCTAAATTTAAAAGTCTTGTATAAAAATTCCTATTATGTCGTTTAATTATTCGTGGATCATGAGTATATAAATCTCCAATGTACTACAAATTCTCAAACGAAAAAAAAATAGTAACTCTAATTTGATGTACTTATGAATTATTTGACTAGACACCAGCAATACCCGTTTGCGTACATTTAACCTTTTTTCCGACTCGTTTGCATACAAATGTACAACGCAATAGTGCACACAAATTTTTAATACCTGCGATAAATGACCCAAACGTAGAACTCGTTTGCGTGCATAAACTATAGCTAAAGTTTTTACATTCTACATTTTTTATTATTACATCTAAACCTTAAAACACAGAACTCAACAACTCGAGTCTTGATAACATCACACGTTCAACTAAACAATAAGCATATAGTAGTAGCATGATAACTCAAAATTTAGCCGAAATATCCACACACCAGTTAATCAAAAATGTTGGGATTACGAGTATTTTATCGAAATGTTTATGATAAATCGTATCATTCTAAGGCACTGCAAGTTACAAAAATTCTATATAAGGAATAAAATTTAATAGTTATACGCAAACGATTTATCATTTTTCAGGTCAAAATTTGTATTAGCTGGTTTTCATGTTTTTCGTTGTACGCAAACGAATTGTCAGTTTCCAGGTAAAAAATTGTATACTGTGCTCAAACGAGAATCACTGCTTGACACATCACTAATTATTGTTTTGTCCCTTATTAATACAATAAGCGATACACTTCTGCTGAGTTGTTTAGAATAGATGGACATTGTTCT